TAACTAACACGCAACTTGTTCACGGGGTTAAAATTAATTTCCTGCTTAATTTCTAGATTAGTATAATGTAATACCGTTAGTTTGAAATTAGTTGTATAATTTATTTTTGGGTGATAATTAACTTCTTGGGATGGTGATGATTAACACTTTTTTTGGTACTATTTAATTAGTCTTATATTTAGTTATAGTCTTATTAAAATATAGTTTAAACTGCTTTAAATGTAAAATAAGAAGGGTTAAATTGTTATGTTGTTATTATCTCTTCTAAACTTGGCTTAATGCATATGTAGCCCTCAACTGGCGTGGTGAATTTTTGTACCACTTATGGTGTGCTGGGGTCCGCCGGATCCCAATTTTTTTTCAGTTAAAAATACATAATGAAGAGATTTTATATAAAGCTTGTTATCTTAACACTATTTACAATATATTCAAACTCGTAAACAAAGAATTTCATTAATTTTCAACAAATTAATAAGAACGGACACAAAAATAAAGTAAAACTCATTTTTTAGGAATTTTTGACAACAGAAATATAACTTGGCGAAGAAACCCATAGAAATTAAAAACATATATATTTTGTGATTTTACCGTATTACTAAAAGTAGAAGCAATTGAAATGTGAAGCTAAAGTTATAAACATAAATTATTTTCAACAAAACTGCAAGCCTTGAATGTACATTACTTTTTCAAATACAGTTCACATGGATCGTGCACATTTGATTTATGAGATTTTTGTTTTTTGTCATTTCTTCGTTGACATATGGTTGACATATACCAGGTCTCTTTCTTTTGTGGTGCTGAATCAAGAACAGTTAACCTAATAGGACTGCTCTTTCAGCCAAAAGTGTCCGCCAGGTGCATGCGAAAACTACTCGCTTTGTGACGTCATTGTAGCCCTTGTCACGGTTATTAGTCCTTATCCGGCAACCAATAATACACACACGTGCATTATTTGTTACCGAATGCAAAACGTTCATTATTTAGTTTATTTATTTAGAGTAGTAGAGAGTAAACACCTTATATGTATGCAGTATAGAAAATTAACTGTATAAATCGTATTAAATACTCGGATAATGCATTTTTAAGAACAGCAGTTCCCAGCATCACCTTTTGCAAGCATTCTTTTTAGAGAACTTCCATATTTTGATTTAAAATAATTAATAAACAAAATCGTGGGCACTTAGTATGCACTTTGTCACAATCCACAACACAAAATGAACGTATTTATACACTCTATAGCACTAAAAACTTTAAAGACACCTTTTTCACATTTAAAATTGACAAAATAATTAACTCAAAATTTCTCAGCTCTTATTTTTATAAGTTTACCATAGGCAATTAGTAATACACACTATCATGACAAGGCCACGAAGGCTTTGACAAGGGCTACAATGACGTCACAACTGTCAGCTGAAGCGCGGGAAGAGGCGAACGTACGTCTTATGAGAATGAGCAATCCTATTAGTTTACCGTTCTTGGTGCTGAATATTCAATTTTTTTTCTTCCATAAGTAAGAGATCTGGCGCAGGAATTTACTGCAGCAGTCCAAAGACTGAGATCTACCACAGTCTTGGAAAACACACCACGATCTTCCAAGCTGAGCTATATGCTATTGAAACCTATGTGGTAGAACAGCAATACACCGGGAAAACAATATGCATATTTTCGGATAGTCAAGCTGCGCTGAAAGCACTTGAGGCAACGAAAAGCACGTCTATGACGATTCTTCATTGTAAGAAACTACTCAATATACTGGGAGATAGGAACAAAGTGTCGCTAATATGGATACCGGGACATGTCGGCCTAGAGGGAAATGAACGTGCTGATTCCCTCGCCAAAATTGGTGCAGGCTCGCCATTCGTGTGGGCTGTACCGACACTTAGCGTTCCCAAAATCTCGCAAGAGACAGGCTCTGTGAATGGGTTAGAGGTGAGACATTCCGAGACTCGAATGACAGTCCCGGAATGGAGCATGCCAAGAAAATCCTAGCAGGGCCATCCAAACATAGAACAGGAGAACTCCTAAAGGCCGGTAGGAATGGAACGCGTGTGCTCACTGCAGTGTACACGGGCCACTGCCGGCTGAGATCTCACCTACAGAGGACGGGACTGGTGGAAGACGCCGAATGCCGACTCTGTATGGAAGATGATGAAACAATGAAGCACGTTATGTGTACCTGCCCCGCTGGGAGCAGGACCAGGTTTGAGATGTTTGGCAAACCCATGCTAGACCTATCAGACCTAGGAGACATATCGCCCTCAGACATAACGGCCTATATTAAGAGGCTGGGTCTTGAGGATGAACTTTGACGCTCTTGTAAATTAGAGCTTGTAGAAACTGAGCCACAATAGGCCCTCGCGGCCTCAGTGGAGGGTCCCCTATGGGACCCACTCTTAGTCAAATACAATAAGTAAGAGATACAGAATCGTAGTTATGGTTTCTCTTCGTCGAAAAATCAATGTCCCGATGATTTTATCTCACCTTCGCCTCTTTAAGTTCATGAAACCACTCAATTAATGCTTCCTCAAAATGAGCGTTCTAGTGAGGCACACTTTTTAGACTACCCACCATCCTAATAATAAAACATGCTTGGCGTGGTTGTGCCACACAAACCTCAATGAAACTTTAGCCTCCGCCGCCGGTAGGAACAATACTTGATAAAATCAAGTGCGCCTTTAACAGTTGCATATTAGTTTCCTAACTTAAAGGTAAATGGCGCGGCGAAGCCTAATTTTTAAACATAAACATCTTTCAGAGGTTTAAATAGTGCTTGGGGTCCGCTAGACCCCATCATGCCAGTTGAGGGGTAGTAATGAGTTTGGCCAACAATGTTAAAGTAGCTGTAATTGAACAAACTAAGCATAACAAACCTTAAATTATTTCTTTTTACAATAGTCGTTCAGACAAGTGTGTACAAGGTTTGGATTGAATCTTAAATGACTCTTAAACTGTAAAATTATTTTGGTGTATAAATTCCTAGTAGAAAATGCTATCGTCATCAATTTCATGCAGATAACAATAATAATTAATGTTTAAGCTAAAAATACATCATTGCCAATTGCTTAGAAAATATCCATCCCTAGCAAATCTATTATTAGAACTAAATTAAGGTAAAACGAAGTCTATTATAGCTGAAACTTACATGTTGAATGTTTATTGTGTGATGAATTAATGAATTAAAATAGAAAAAAAAATATTTCGACAGATTTTTTAATTTATATTAATATTTTTATAATGTTATTAAGTTTTGGTTTATTACTATCTTAGCTGTCAATTATATTTGAACTGTTTTTCAATAATATATCACCATTTTTTTTGCACAGGTTATTAATTCTATTAAAAGCTAAAAATAAAAATAATAAATTAATTTGTTAGGAAATTTAAGGCATAGAGGATTCACTAATAAAAAATTAATTATACAAAGTTATTTTATCTTTATTTTTAATAATGCACAATTTTTTTCCCGGTAGTGGCAAATTAGGTTGTACTGTGGTAAATTTTTTCCAGCTGAATTTTAAGAAAAATCTCAAAATAAAGCAATATTTAAAATTATAAAATTAATAAATAAAGAACAAATTATATTTGTATAATTTGTACTCATTTTGAGATTTTTCTTAAAATTCTACTTCTTGATAAAAAATTTGTTTTTTGTAGTTAATTTTGGTAAAATTTTGAATTTCTTGTAAAATATTAAACTTGTTTAAATATAACAGAAATAATTTCAACGTAATTTTTTAATGAACATGTGTTACTAAGATAACCGGTTTTGTACGTAACTGGAAATTCGCATATACCGGGTGCGTCTCAAAAGTGGCTCACCCCTATAAATTTTTATTTTTTAGATCAGAGATTTTTTCATCAGACCGTTTTCGGTCACGTCCGGTTTCACCGGAAAGGACTACAACTTTTGATTTTTAAATGACACCCTCGGTATTTTTTTACTTTATTCGATAGAAAATGACACTCAGAATAGAATAACATATCATATGTCAACTTTTGAAATTTTTGCATATGGTTTATTGAAATTGTAACATGTGGTTCATAACGACAATTTGACTCGAAATACCAACTGTGTGGTATAAAATTATTCGTAAAAAAATTCTTTTTCTAAATATGCTAATGAGCCACCATCGTTCCATTTGAAAATATTGAGATATGATTAAAAATACGATTTGGGCATATTTTAACCGGCCAGTACAAGACACTAAAAACATTAGACGATCAAATCTATTTTTTCAAGCCATGGCACTCTAGATTGAAATTGAAAATACAATTTGTTTTTAAGTGAATGTGTCAAAAGTTGACATATGATATGTCATTCCATTCAGAATGGCATTTTCTTTTAAAAAGCAAAAGTTGCAGTCATTTGCGGTCGAACATGAAGTGACCGAAAACAATTGAATACGTAAATTAATCTTAAATTATGTCATATACTAATATACCAAATCTTGTTATTTTATCTAAAAAAATAGAAAAGTTATAGAGGTGAACCACTTTTGAGACGCACCCGTTATTTCAAAAGCTCGTACAGGGTATACTGCTTTTTCTTTTGGTATGGAAAACTCATGGTTTTTAAAAATGTCTTTCTTAAAACTAGACATTTTAGCAAACCAATGATTTTTTATTCATTTAAGTAAATGTCAATAAAGTTTTCATCTTCAATTATCGAGTTAACATCACAATATTACAGTTTTGGAGTTGTAAATTTTTGTATTGCAACAGCAAAGTAAAAACTAATTCATCAGAATACACCAAAACACGTGACTCTTTTGACACTGACCATGTTAGCATCATCAACAGATGGTTAAAGCTTTAAACAGTTTTAATAATCTGCTGAAAATGCTAACATGGTTAATGCTAACTTAGTGTCAAAAAGTAATTTTTTGTTGTATTTTTTTGAATAGTTATTTCATAATAGTTGATTTAAGTGTTAGGACAACATTACTAGCTATAACAGAATAAAAATGATACAGAACAGAAGTATACATAAATATATTTACCTGAGCTAGAAGCTGTGGTCCTGTACCATTCTCGTTTATTCTAAATACAAATGGTCCATTTCCAAAACATTCCTCAAACATTCTTGTAAAAGTGCTATAATTTAACAAAACACAATTATTATTATCTATACAGGGTGTTTCAAAAAATATTTACCATCTCCCGTAGGGAGTTTCCTCGCGTAAAAATAAGATTTATATTTTATATTAACATACATAGGTCCGATTCTGCTTTGTTTCGTAGCTACAGGGGGTTAGAGTTTTTTTTTCGAGTTATTATAATTTTCTTCCAAGTGCTTCTAGCGATTTAAGTTAAGTGAAATTTTGAGGGTGAATGTTACTATAAGTGCAACATATTTTTATTTATTTCTCATATTATTTAATTATAATTTAAGTATGATTTAATTATTATCATTAAAAATTAATTTCATATTAACATTGGTCCGATTATGCCTTGTTTCGTAGCTACAGGTTGTTATACTTTTTCAGATACAAGTCTTTATACTTTATACTTAAAATACCTTTTTATGATTCGAATGAAATTTTTAGGGTAAAAGTTACTATAAGTGCTACATATTTTAATGCTAAACAAGTGTCGACATATTCACCACTGACGTGCATCAGTGTTATCAGTGGAATATTTTTCTAAAAAAAAACATGCGCGCCACTGACTTTTTTTTTCTTGTTAGCAAAATTATGTTGACCGTTTAATGCCGATTAAAAGTTGTCTCTTGATATTTTGTCAATTTCAGTCTCCCTAATAAGATAAAGGCAATATTATTAGTTTGCCTTAATCCAAGTCTAATAGCAACCTCTAAAATTTGTCATTAACTGGTTAACGTATTAAATAAGTTGCTATAAACATGGGTGCGAAAATACATAGTTTTAAAGTTACAGGATGTTAAAACTTTTAAATAATATTTAAAATATATCTACCATTATTTTTCTTTGAATGGATGCATTCAGGAGCATAGGCCGTCCACCAACCAGATGGCATGACGACTTAAGGCGTATCCACAGTAACTGGATGCAAATAGCTCAAGATAGGGAATTATGGAAGCAAACGAGGGAGACCTACGTCCAGCAGTGGACTTTAGTGGCTGGTTGATGATGATGATGATTGTGATTAATAAAATTTTACACTTTTAGTAACTTTCACTATCAAAATTTCAAATTTAAAGAAGGCATCTATTCTTCTCAAAGAGACCTAGTATAAATTAAAAGGAACGAGAAAAAAGACTCAAAGTCTCTGTCTCAATGTTTGTACTAAGTTAAACAGTGACACATGTTTCGCACATACGAGCATCATCAAGCAAATACAATAAGTGTTGCTTTAATGTGTAAAATTTGAACGTGTGTGTGGATTGACTTTAATTGTATTTGTCCCCGATGATGCTCCTATAAGCGAAACACGTGTCACTGTTTAACTTAATACAAAAGTTGAGACCGAGACTCTGAGTCTTTTTTTCTTGTTCCTTTTAGCTCAAAATTTTATTCGAATTACTAAAAGCACTTGGAAGAAAATTAAAATGAATAAAAAAAATAACCCTCAATAGCTACGAAACAAATCAGAATTGGATCTATGTTGATGTAAAAAATAAACCTAATTTTTACGCGAGGAATCTCTCCACGAGTGACGGCACATGTTTTTTAAATCACCCTGTACCTTAAATTTTATGTTTAATATATTAGAACAAACAATTAGATGAAGGTAATATGTTTCAAAATGAATAAAAATACTAAGAAAAATTAAAGTCTAAGAAATTTCACAGAATGTATACATATGGAAACATACTTTTTGATATTGCAATACGATCTATTTATAAACTGGTACTATTTCGGAATACTACGTGTCTTTTATTTTAAGAGAAAAAAGAAAAGACGAAAATGAAGGTAACAGGTTCAATCTCCTGCCAACACGAAATCCAAGTAGTACAAACGAAAAAGTTAAGTTAAACGTGCTCTTAAATGCCAAAGTTTGAAATGTATAGGCTATAAAATCTGGAATAGGAGATAAAAAATGCAAATAATAAAACTTATTTCCTGATATCGATTATAGAAAAATTTATAGGAAAATATGGGGGATGAGTAGATTATAGTTTAGATGAAACTAACCATTTTTTGTAACACTATTTTGTTTTCATTTTCTGTAACTTTGAAAAAAAAATAATTAAGTTTTTTTTTAAGGAAAAAACACTAAATTTGTTCCAAATTATATACAATTGTCCAACATAACTTATGAGTATATGATTACCATTTATTTAATCCTTATAGTAGGTACGTAATGCCAGCTACACATATTCCAGTATACTTGCGTAAACTAGATTTGCGCAAGTATACTGGAACATGTTTGAGAATGTTTTTGAGCAAATAGGAAATATTTTTTTTCAATAAAAAGAGCGTTGGAAAAACGCACAATCAAATTCATCAAAAAAATTGTTTTTTGTCGTTATGTTAATAGGTACCAGTATTTTTTTTTTAATTTGCTGTAGGTACCACTAAACATCAAGGTTATCAACTGAAATTTGGTATTAATAATTTTAATAGTTTACTCTGGTTGCAAATTGAAATTGATTTTTATAATGAGGGTTCATAAACCTGCGGTCATTTGGGCTTATTTTTTTATCGAAAGCAATTCTAGATAGGCATATGGTACAAAAAAGAAAAAAGTTGTATTTTTAATTGGTAATTTTAAACATTTAATTTAAACATTTTAGTAAGTGGCGTATATTTCTTCCCTAGTTTAGTTTACCCAAGTATACTGGAACCTGTACGGCTGGCATTATATACTATAAGTATAAAAAAAGGGTTACCAGATACTCATAAGTTATGTTTGAACATTTATATTGTATGTATTCTGTAAGAACAAATTTGGTGTTTTCTTCTACTTTATAAAAAACTAATTTTTGTTAAACAAATAAACTACATTGAAATATAAAATATATATATTTTTGTTTTCTGTTTTAATTGCAATATTCCCAGTTTTCCAGTTAATACTACCCTATTGTACAAAAGCATTTGTAATTATTATATGTACCGGCGCACGAGAATTTATGTTATGTTTATTATTTCATATTTATTTAAGATGATGATTTTCTTCAAAATAACCCATCATTTTTCTGTTCATAGCTGAATGTACCCAAGTAACAAAATACTTTCTTATAATTTTCTTCTTTATAAATGTTATATAAAGGAGTCGGATGCAGTTAGATAGCTTTATAAGAGTGTCGCTTTACATTAAAAAGCCATTTGAGCAATATTACTTTATAATAATGTAGCTGTAAGAACGCTCTTAAATATAAATAAGAAACCCTTTATATATCAGCTTTAATAAAGCTAATTAAATTTGGCGATTAAACTATATAAAGATTTTATAAGACACTTATAAGCACTAACAAAGCAATTAGAAATCCAGAATATTTTACCTCTTTAGGCATTTTTATAAAGCTACTATAAAGTGATCGGTTGTTTTAGTTAAATGCTTTATAATTATATTATTATAAATACCCTTTATATTTATAAATTTATAATATTAATTAAAATATTAAATATTAATAATTAAAATATTAAATATAAATAAATTATTTATAATACAAGCATTTGCTTTATTAGGTACCCTAAGCTTTTTAATACGTATTACTCAATTAATACAAAACATTGCCATATTACTGGCATATAAAAGTTATTTAAGGTCTTTTAAGATTTCATTCATCCTTTTTGTTAGCATATTTTTATTTTTTTACGAATCGGCATGCTACGCAAGTTTATTTATACAGGGTGTCCCAGAAATAAGTGCAAGTATTTTAACTGGTAGTATAGTTCAACCCCAGAAACCCGCCTATGAGGTTTTTTTTCGAAAAAAAAAATGAAAATTCGAATTTTTTTGAAAAATTTCTTGGAAATTTGTTTAGTTTTTAGTTAAAAACATAATTTCTTGATAATATGGCAACATAGATATTAGATTAAATTTGCAAGAAAGAAAATCCAGAAAAGATCCAGAAGTTCTAAAAAATTTAGCAAAAAATATATTTTTTTGGAAATTTTCAAAGTAAAATAGCTCCGTTATTTTGGACTTATTTGAAAAACCACCCCTTAGAATAGTTGCACTTATTTCTGGGACACTGTATTATTATCTTAATAAATTTATAATTTTTTCTTATACCATCGAGCTTAACATATTTTTTAATTTTCAAAGTAAAATAACTAGGTTTTTTTTGGTCTTATTGGAAAAACGATAAAGAGAAAATATGTTTTTTTTTCTCTCTATCAAGATCTTCTAGTTTTATAAATATTTGTACTTATTTAAGACTCGCCCTGGTTAAATCAACAATATTTTTTTTTTAAATTTGTATAATAAAGCTAAAATAAATTTTACCAATATTCCTAATTTGTAAAATATTTATTCATATTTGTGTACTGTATTAATATTACTAATATTAGTAAATTAAATTTTAATACATATTACAATAAAAATGGAAACCAGCATATACTTTACCAATAAGAAATTTTCGTCTCTTCATATATTTTCTCTCATACTTTTCCAGTCATTTCCCAAAAATTTCTCGCCGCCGAATCCGGAAAAATGAAGGAATGTCGGAAAAGCCCAATGGAAATTGACGACCTGCCCGGCTGCCGCTCGAACTTTGACTGATCTCAGGCCGGTGGAACGGCAAATGCCGCGGAAATCACGGAAAAAAGGATGGGAAAACGACGACGACGACACGCGAACGCAGAGCCATTCATATTTTTCCGCCAGTGCGATGGATGGCATCGCGCGCCCTTGTACCAGGTTATGTCAACGCGAACCGGAAGTACGCGACGCGTGACGTCATTGTCGGATCGTCTGTGACGGACTGGAGATGGAACTAGTAAATTTGTAATCATTACTTCACATATAGAGTTTTTTCTTTTCTATTTTAATTAATTTTATTATTTTTTTTATTCTTTTGTATGAAATAATACGTTACAGTAAAAGCCGCAAATCAGTGATTGTTAACAATTACTAGTAAAAGCTCACATTCACTGATTTACTAAGACTACGCCAATAACAGTTCAACAGCTATTTTTGAAATCAACTTTTACTAGTGAATGTTAGCATTCCCTGGAGGATAGAAGTGAGTTTGACAGATTTAATTTGCGCGGTTGCCACATGTTGGAATGTTGATAAATAAGGATAAATAAAATAATATAGACAATATAAGGAAAATCTTAAAATGGGTTAAATACTGGCAACGTTGACATCTGGCTCAAATTCGCTTGGCTTTTTTGCGGTTATATTTAATTGTTTTGTTATCGTTGTAAAAAGTGCTGTGCGGTATTTGGTATTTTCCTTAAATGGGAGAAACTTGCTCTGAAAAATTAATACAAAATAAACTCTCTCAAATTATAACAAAAGTTAAGGATGCCAGAGAAAAAATTGTGACTTGACCTATGTGCTTGAAGTTCCGGATTTGAAAAAAAAATAGTAGCTTCAGATGAAGAAAATTCGGGCATCCTTTATTTTGTCCACGATGAAAAGCTTTATAAAAATTGTTCAAAATTATTTGTTTTGTACAGTTTAAAATGTTTATTATGTTTTTTTTTTTTAATATTTAGAAGGTTATATTGTGTCGTTATTTTCTATAATCTATACTAATATATAAAATCCTTAAGTGACTGACATACTGATTAATCACGATCCTGTTCAAACCACTCAATGTAAGAAGCTCAATTTTGGCATACAGGTTTTGGCATTCTAGGGTGTAGAGGTTCGATAAGAAGGGATTTTTCGAAATTCCAGTTCCAAGAGGGTGAAATCAATAATTACAATACCCTCAAATATTACAATATTTTTTATTTAAAAAACGGTCAAGTTTCCGAAAAAAACGCTTAAACACGTATATTTTATTTTGTTTTTTACATATTTTAAGATTTTTTAAAAATGTATACAGGGTGTTTCGAAAAATCTGGTCATTGATTAATCACGATCCTGCTTAAAGCGCTTCACGTAAAAAGCTTATTTTTGGAGAACGGATTGACTTTAGGGGGTAGATGTTCGATAAGAAGGGATTTTTCGAAACTCGAATTCTAAGGGGGTAAAACCACCACTAAAATATTAGAATATTTTTTATTTAAAAACCGTTGATTTTTTCGGAAAAACTCTTAAACACGTATATTTTATTTTGTTGTTTTACATATTTTAAGATTTTTTAAAAATTTATACAGGGTGTTTCATAAAATATGACCATTGAGTAATCACGATTCTGCTTAAACTGCTTGACGTTTAAAGCTGATTTTTGGCGAACGGATTGACTGTGGGGTGTAGAGGTTCGATAAGAAGGGTTTCTCGAATCTCGAATTCCAAAAAGGTGAAAACGCCCCTCATGTATTACAATATTTGTTATTTAAAAAACGGTTAGCCTTTCGGGAAAAGGCTTGGACACGCATAATTTATTTTATTTTTTTACATACCTATTTTGATATTTTTTAAAAAATGATACAGGGTGTGCTTAAACCGCTTGACATAAAAAGCTTATTTTTGGCAAACGGATTTTTCGAAAGTCAAATTCCAACGAGATGAAACTACCGCTCAAATATTACCAAGCATCACCATTACAAATGATTAATTCGACGCGAACGAAGTCGCGGGTACACGCTAGTTTACTCTAATCTGTTTTACGACTCAGGTAAGATGTCGCCAGATAATTAATATTTTTAAGTTAACTATAGATGGGTTTATACAGGGTGAGTTTTCTACGATGTTCTCGAAAAATACTGGGGGGAGCTAGAGAGTCGGTTAAATTAGGAAAGAATTGCAGTTTTGTGGGGTTATAAATAAGCCTTTCGAATTTGATGAAAACGTTTACGGCTTACTAGATATTTGGAATGTAACAAATTTCAGCTATTTTAAAAATGTTTCCCAATTTCATTATAATCTATTTCAGACAAAAAGTTTTCAGATAAAAGTTGTAGATAATGACATCCTTCATGATATTGTGTTCTCTTTTTTTTCTAAAACCTGTCACTTTCATATGATACATGTTTTTTTTTAAATGGGAACCATAGTTGACCATCAGTTAGAAAAGAAAATCTATCGGTCACAGATAGAGAGTTCGGATTAATAGTATGGTTCTGATATTCCAAACAAAGACAAAATCAGGAAAAAATGATGTTATTGTGGTTAAATTTCGTAATATACAGGGTGACAATTTGAAAACGAACAGTATGTAATATTACCTCTACCGATGATAGTATGAAAATTTGGCGAAATACGTCAATTTACATATCAAGTGGAACAATTTTTGAGGCATTTGTTGTCGTGTTACTTTCAACCCCTTGACCCCCAGGGCAGCTACCCTTAAAATTTTAAATGGCAACCCCTATTTCTTTTACCATTTTTGTGTCCCTTATAAAATTCTCAAAAAAATAATGCAGTATGTAGAATTCTATAAGAAACACAAAAATAGTAAAAGAAATAGGGGTTGCTATTTAAAATTTTAAAGGTAGGTGCCGTGGGGGTCAAGGGGTTGAAAGTAACACGACAACAAATGCCTCAAAAATTGTCCCCTTTGATATGTAAATTGACGTGTTTCGCCAAAAATTTTCATACTATCATCGGTAGAGGCGATATTAAATACTGTTCGTTTTCAAATTGTCACCCTGTATGTATATATAATATGTAGGTATTAACATATTACTAATTATATTATATTAGCTGAATAATGAATATGTTAATGGTATATTAATACGAGTATAAATAGAATATTTTATGATTTTTATTGTCTTATTTTTTGAAATGTTCACTGTGCTGAAAAATATTCATGTTAGTGATTTTTTTGAAAACTAGATTTCCTTTTTAAGGTAGGTGCCAAGAATGACTTAAAAATGGTGTATCATGTTAGAGATATTAACAGTATCCTAAAACTATTAAATTTGTTATTTTTACTAAATTTTGTCACATCGAAACATAATTTCCAGGATATACGCAGCATACGACGATACAAGTATATTTCAAAAGCATTAATGCGGTTTTCCAATGTCTGGTTGGTGTCCAGCTCTCAGAGCTGTAGAGAAATACTGGAGAGATGTAGCACAACGCAGCATACGTATGCGCAGTTCGAGGCTTAGATCTCGGCTAGAGAAGAGGGTTTTCATGGAAGCAAAAGTACGTCTGGCCTGTTCGATCTTCGCTAAAATTTCAGTTTTGGGGCAAGCGTCGTTAACGAGGGCTCCTAGATACTTTATGGACAATACTTGTTCTACCACCTTGTTGTTAATTCTGAGGACAGTCTTCCTTGGTGTTCTGTCCTTCGCATCTATTGTATATACGGGTATGCGGAGGTATACTTTGAGGACATGCGACATCAGGCTGATTAACCGGTGGTCATCACATTGAGAAGCGTTTGGTTTTTTTGGGTAATGCCAAGTCGGCGGACCCCCAGGAGTCTGCAAACCACTGGTTAAGAAACGCTGATCTAGATGATGATATAATTTTACTTCACAAAAAGATTTCTTTGTCGCAAACATATTGAACGGTTTTTTTAAATATCAAGTTATTGACGACCATTATTTCATATGTTTAAAAAAATCGTTACATTATCATAAAACCTTTTCAACAAATTTTATTGCTTTTACTTTATGGTCTTTGTAGATTTGCATAAAACAAATGTGGCATAAAAATAGAAAATACTTTAGAATATAAGTTCGTAAAAAGTATTTTATGGATATCGCAATAAAAAACCGGATTTAAATGGCTTTTCATGTTCTTGGTTTCAGCTAAGTTTTCCACGTGTCACTGAGGACAACGTTAGAAAAATCGATTTTTATATTAAGTTATTTTTATCGCATGTGTGTCATTGTACATTATGACAGCGGCACGGTGACAAAAATAAGTAAGTATACCATTACAAATTGTTAGAATTACCACCTCTTTTTTAGAGCAGGACATTAACATAGTAATTATGGCTTTGTCATGTTTCTTCTGTCATTACGAACTTCAACTTCTATACTACTAAAATAATTAGCATATTGTGTTGTATTTTCCTTAATATAATGGGTCGTCAATTTATCAAAATTAACATAGATTGTATGAATTTATTTTTACTAAATGAGTCAACTAATATACCGGTTGGTGCATCGTCTTATTGTTGTTGGTTTTTAAAATAAAATATCTAACTACAACTATTGAAGAACACTTTAGTTTTTGAAGTAAAATTTCTTTATGCGCGTTGGGAGTAAACATTCAAAGCTGTGACACAAGCCCAGGACCGGGAAACTTTAATACGACAAAATGTTTTGAAATTTTATACGATTTTGAGCGCCCTCGCACGAGTGGACTGAAAATTATATATTTAATTACCAAAATTGTGCGTAAGATGGCGCATATGTCGATTTTTCCTCCTTCTTGGCAAACACATGGCGCTTGCGCAGAACCGTTCCCGCCGCGTGGTAGAGAAGCCGGCCGGCATGGCTGACAGCCGGCCTTCGCCATTTGTTCCCAGAGTTTCTTACGACTTAGTTCGGCCATTCTGTGTTATTTTTCTTTGATGTTCAAAGCGTGTGTTTTTAATTTACTGCTGTGCTGTGTGTGTGTGTGTTGTGTTTTTAAAAATTATCATGAGTCTGACATATAGAATATGCTGTGTTCCCGGATTCAAGACTGAGACTTGACATCTGTTTTGTTAGTTTAATGTTGAATGTTTATTATAATATTAAAGCTACTGTTTAGTTTAATTATTGTGTTCCTTATCTATTTAAAAATAAATTATTTTCTTAGATATAAGCACCATTTGTAAATAAACCAAGTTATTTGATTATAAGTTAGGTTTATTTTGTAAATATTTCAAAATGTTATTGTTTTCTTATCAAATAAATATTGCATTTTATGTATTTTTTATGCATAAAACATGTAATATAATAAGAAAGCTATAAAATTCTGAATATTTATATATAAACCTAATTTTTAATCAAATAATTTGGGTTTATTTACAATGGTGCTTATATCTAAGAAAAAAATTTATTTTAAATTTACCACCCTACCAAAATATTGAAAAGAAAGGAATCTGTAAAATATTTCTTCAGTTATAGTAGATACCTGTATTTTGAAATCTTAAATTAAAAGGTGATTTTCAGTCCACTCGTCCGATGTCGCCACGCATTATTTGTTTTTTTTCAAATTTTCCGGACATATTTAATGCATGAGAGTTGCCAATCTATTTACGTGATCTGTGCACAAGCTCTTGAATGACGGCCGTGACGCGCGGGCTAGTGAGAGGAGAAGCGATAGCGGCAGTGTTGCCATAACTACCCGATTCGGGGTAGATCTACCTCTTTATAAAACAATTTAACCCTGCTACCTCGTGATAATCAACCCCAACGAAAAATAAGCTTCTGGCAACACTGGGTAACGATCTGTACTATACACGGCTAAAAAAACATTATAATAAACTTGATACTGTACCAACCTTGATGTGTACCCATGGTTTGGTTGCGAATTTTCGTCGATTTGTAGCTTCTGAATAACATTATTACTGCCTGGAAATCGCCGCCGGTCGCCTATCCCTCCTTCATGTAGATGTTATTGACCTCGAACGCAAACGACAAATTTAAACCGGAAAATCGCGCACAGTTGCTAGCCACGGCAGCAATTTTTCGGCCGCCTTCCGCGACTTTTAATTTACCGGGACGGGTTCGCTTGCGATTTTATAGGTAAAATTGTATTTTTTTCGGATTTTACTTAGTGTTTACTGTTTCGTTTGTAATGGGTCAAGAAGGACAATCTTCTGCTTCTGCTAGTGTGGACAATAATTTAGACTGTGTTTGTGTTGTATTTGTGTTATTAAAAAAGGGATTTTCTAGTCGGAACTCCCAAGAAAAAGTGACATTATTAAGTCTGGTAGGCCTAACAATTAACGGAAAATCCAAAATTTTATGATGATGTTATAGACAAATTTGCAATGGCTGATAGACGGATAGATATCAAATACAAATAGGTGCCTATCGCGCGTCAAGTGCTTCGGAAAATTAATTTAAAATATCGTATTTTAACTATTATAACTTTATGTGTTTTTGTTTGTTTAACAATTTTCGATAGAATTTTAATCGAACAATGGAATTGGCCTCGGGATTTTCAAAGGTAAGTTTTTTAAGAAAATGTAAAAGTAATGTCTCGAAATAGGGTTTTTTACCGATTCGCTTCCCCGCATATAATTGTCACCGCACGCCGCTGTGTTTGATTAAAATTTTATTTTAAAATAAAACTTTTGTTAATAACATTCCGGGAATTCGAATAATGAATTGAATAATGACGAAACAAGTGACATATTTCTAAAAAAGACAGCGATTTAGAGCGACAATTTGATTATGTAAAATTTAGAGTGGCAATTTTGATTATGCAAAAGAAATACATATTAATTATACAGGGTGCTACAAATTCGAGGTACGAGCATTGGTCTCTCGGTAACCGTAATAGATACGAACATGGTCAAATTGGGGCAAAGTTGCGTATTGGGATGTTCACCAAGATGCCATCAAAAAAGTTTCCAAATTTTAAGGATTGCTGAGTTTTTTGGAAAAAACTGATTTTTTTGAAAATCAATTTAATTTTTTCCTGTCGTTACTTTTTAGAAAATCAAAAAACTAATTGCACATTCTCATGGCCACTTTATTATGGATATCTGATAGTATTTTTTGATTTTCAAATTAGTTCATAATTTTTGAGGTACAAAGGCAAACTTAATTTTTTCAATACGGACCTGCATTTTTTATTTAAGATTTCGAAAGAACTCAGTTTTAAAAAAAACACAGCAGTCCTTAAAATTTTTAAAACTTTTTTGATGACATCTTGGTGAACATCCCAAAGCGCAGCTTTGTCCCAATTTAACCATGTTCGTATCTATTACGGTTACGGAGATACCAATGTTGGTACCTTGAATTTATAGCACCCTGTATAAATACCCAACATGTATAATGAACAAAAGATTTAAACAATAATAGACCACAGACCACACAAAACAAATTGTTGGTTGTAAGTAGCACTCAGAGATATAGATATAGTAGTATTTTGGTTTAATGGCCACAGCTGCTGGGGCTATCCGGCCGGGTGATAGAATTATGTTTTTTTTTAATAAAAATTGAAAAAAAAACCATCATAGACAACCTCATAGAGTAATATTATTTTTTATTAAGTAAACATAATATATTAAGCATTAAGTAACCATAATTAGTTAAGTACATATTACACCAAAACATAACTTATTAACAAAATTTAATAAATAAAAGTTTGTGAAAATTATTTTCTGTTTTTAAGAGTCAATCGAACACCATTTTTGGAAATTAAAATAAGTTCTGGTGCTAGTGCTATTTTATGTTCGGGTTTAGAAGGTTCCAGTTCAAAATTTCTTACTATCTTCGATATAACTGATAGCATTTCTAACATGGCATATTTCTGACCTAGAAACAAATTGAAAAAATAAAATTAAAACGAGTATACAAAAACTTCTCACATATGCAGTAACGATTTTCTACTTTTTCTTATATTGTCAATTACGTCACAAAAATTAATACTTTTGTAACGTTGGAAAAAATCATTTTTTGTGAAAGCGTTTCGAAATTGACAGTTTTTGAAATTTATCTGAGATTGGAAATGACATTCTTTTAGGCACTAGTATCTAAAAGTGACACTTGTTTAGGCACTAGTGCCTAAAAGTAAAAAATGAAACGTTAGAGATAACGAAAATATTTATTTTTTATAAATCTTAAAGGTACAATTATTTAAATTATTAAAGTGAATACAAGAGGCATCCAACTTGTTGTCTCTAAGAGAAACGCAAGTTGTAGGAGTCGGAATAAGTACTTTTCGTTTGAATAAGTACGTAAGTAAATTTCTTGTACTGTCAATGCTGGTAGCTTCTGCTTCTACGTGAACTGCTTTTAATTTCTTATTTGGCGTATCTTTCTGTCCCATGATTCTTTTTGCTATTTCGGTTTTCTGTTCAATTGAATTTTCAATATAACCTTCAGCAACCGAGCTTGATGGCCAACCTCTATGTCGCTTTAAAACTGTTATGTCCGCTCCTGAATCTGCCAGCATTGTTGCAGAGCTGAGCCGGAAACAATGACCAGTGTATTCAATGGCGTTGGAGAGTCCAAGAAATTCCACTCTCTTTTTTGACATACCCCCAATTGTATTGATTCCAACTGACAGGGTACAGCATTGATTTTTTCTATACGTCAAGAAAAATCGCTGATGTGTTACATTGAGTGGTCGAAGCTTTGCGTACTTGCGAAATACATTTAAGAAATTTATACCATCTATTGGTCCGTCAGTAATCGCAAACACTCTTGGAAAATGAGTTTTTGTATTCGGAATCATCACGCTAATAAATGACTGACAATCTTTAGTGGCATCTACGGTCAAAAAACGTGATTTCTTTCCTCCTACATGCTCCAAATACTTCAACGATAAAGACAACTTTAGCTAACAGGAATTCTGTGTCATCGACTTCTTTCATAAAGCGTTCTATTTCCAGTTTTGTAAATACTTTTCTTATTAAAAATGCAATAAGGTTTGTGAATTTGCTAATATCTACGTTTCTGTTCAGGTAAATCATGGTGCGGAGCATCGAATATTTACTCCACAGAGTTGACGGCTTTAAGGTAGTGGATAACTTCAGAAAATAGCCTAACAATACCTTTCCTGTGAAATTTTCAACATGTTTTTCTTTGACCCAGGTCTCAAAGTTATTGTAGGTGGTCTCGTATAAATTTTTCGACTTCCCGGGCACCATTACTCATTTTTTCACAAAACTTTGTAGGAAATACGGCGACGTTTGAACCTGACAGAACTTTGTCATTAAACAATGCATAAACAATGCCTTAGAAAACCGATTACCAGAACATTTTAAAAAATGTTTAAAAATAAATAATAATAATAGCATGAAAATCTCAAATTATCCGCTTTCACAAAAAATCTTGTATGAAATTCGTTGCGAAAAGAGTGTTTTAAGCACTCGACGCATTGTCCATTGACAATTTTGCGTCCCGTGCTTAAAACACATTTATTTTGCAACTTATTACATAAATAGCTATTTTTTTTAATAAAGTTCTGTCTTACCTATGCAATTTCTGGGGCCAGCACTAAATGGTACGTAAGAAAACGGCAACCAGTCTTTTTGGCTTTCGAAACGTTCAGGTATGAACTTGTTGGGTTCTGGAAAGTGTTTCGCTTGTCTGTGGTAACCAAATGCATAAACAATCACATTCATATCTTTGGGATAAATATTACCCTCTAAAAATATGTAAAATATGGCAAAATATTTTTCAATAAAGAACAAACATAAATCTTAATACCTCAATCCATCAATATCAACGTATCAAATCACAAACAATTTCTTTTAATTGATAGTACTTACTAAATTCTACATCTTCAGTCAATTTGCGACCAATCAATGGAACTGAAGGATATAGCCTCAAAGTTTCTTTAATGGCCATTTCTAGGTATTTCATTTCTAATAGCTGAGAATAAGTTGCCATAGCATTCTTTAAATCACTACCAAATATTTGTTGTTGCTCTTGGTATACTTTCTCCTAATAAATTATAATACATTTGCAATGACTTTCATAATGAAAGAAATGCTAAAAATTATTCATACACTCATCGGCAAAAGTCTTGCACTCCCCAGATACAATTATTTCTTTGCATAGCATATTGTTGTGGCTATGTGTACAAATACATACATACATACATGCATACAGCCGTTACTCGCTGACGAGTATTCGACACACATAAAGAAGATGCTCACGCAAGGCGTTTTCTTTCATGAGCTTTTCTGTGACTGAAAAGCCCAATACGTGATGTTATCTGCCTACCGCACTCCGGACATTCAAAAATCTCATTGCTTTGTTGCTTCTTTACTTTTTGGTTGCCGCTGTTAACTGAGTTTACAACCCTTCTCCATTGAGTTCTATTGTGAGCTGCTTTTCCCACTCATTCTGCATGTTAATTCCCTTTAAATTTTCGTGGAAAATGTCCTTGTATCTTTTCAGTTGTCCACCCGGCCTCCTCTTACCGTCTACAAGCTCACCGTAAAGCAGAGATTTTGGTATGCGGTTTTCTTGCATTCTGCATACGTAACCAGCCCATCTTAAGCGGGATTTTGTGACCATGACTTCAATACTCTCGCAGTTAGCTTTTTCAAGGACCGATACGTTTGAGACATGATGTGTACAAATACCTTAATATGTGTCTACAAAAAATAGGTCATAAAAGTAATGAAAGAAAACCTTATTGATGGAATGTGTATAGTTTTGCTATTTGCGGTCAAATTTTGCTTCTCAGTTTGAGTTCAATCTTGTAGTAAGTGTTGTGAAAGGCGACAAAAATACCAGGGTACGAAATTTCTGCCTTCGATAGGGCCCGAATTATCGCTGTGCATGAAGAAGGTATCAAATTGCTGATCTTTTAAGTTCTTTGAGTGCGAAGTACTGTAAGCCGAATTATACAACGGTATATGGACACCGGAAATGTAAGATCTCGTCCTAGTTTGGGCCGTACAAGGGTAACGACAGGATCGCTACTTGGCTAAATTTGCCAGAAGAAATCGGTCAGTTCCAATTCGCGAGCTACGATCTCAGTTTCAACAAACTTACCACCGAGTGATATCAACCCGAATCATTTCCAGGCGACTTTCTAATGCTGTATTAATGCTCTATTAACTTTATACCATAGACAAAGGAGGCTACAGTGGGCTAGAGAACACCAGAACTGGTTATTACTTCAGTGGAGAAACGTAATTTTCACTGACGAAACCAGGATAGGTTTGATCAGTGATGACTATCGTCAGCGAGTGTGGAGGGAGGCAGGGAGGCAGCATCACCAGAGCTGTATTTCGCAGCAATAACCCACCAAGAAATCGCCAGGAGTTGATTATTGCCGCTGAAGAGGAATGACAGAACTTACCACAAGAAACCATAAACAACCTTATAGTGGGGATATGCCCCGACGACTTGATGCACTCATAAAAAATCGAGGAGGCAATACTTTTTCTTTATGGAATTGGCATTTTTTTTGTATTTTGGTAAAATATATTATTAAACTTGGTGAAAGTTTTCCCTTTTTAGTGTTATTTTGTAACATAACTTTAGCATCTACTGATTTCCACGAAAAATTAGTTTGAAATGTATTTTTTTATTAAAATAGCAAAAGGCTGCAAGACTTTTGCCGATGAGTTTATCATAATTATGCAAACTCAGATATAGTAATAGATGGACCAATTGCATGAACCTCCTCGATAACCTGACTTTAATTTTAAATTTTTGTATAAAGAAATTGTATATGTAGAACCAGTATTTATCAATCAACACGTCAATTCCTGTTTTCAAATGTGATTATTTCAAAATCTCTGATTATTACCTGTACATCTTTATGAGTGGACAAATGATATAAACAGAACGAGATAGCTGAAGATGTAGTATCGTGACCCTAAAAACAAAGCACATCACTATAAATTAAAATATTTCTGCAATTTTAGTGGCAAATTATAACCTCAAACATAAAAGTGTTAACTTCATCTCTCACTTCTTTCCTTGTCAACGGTTGGCCATCAATTGTTGATTTTAAGAGAATATCCAAAAAGGCCAATTTGTTTTTGATTCCGTAACCATCATCGTTGGCTTTTTCCTCTTTTGGGATACTATCTAACTCTTCTACTCTCTTCTCAATTACTTGGTCAACAAATTGATGAACATACTAAAGATATATAAAACTTTACATAAAACATATTTTTATTGCTGAATTGTTAATTGTCTAGCATTCTATAATAAACATATATACCTTTAATGCTTTCTGTTCTTTATGATGAACCCAAAATAATGGATAAAGAACCTTATGTATCGGTATATTCATTTTTATCGTGACAGCATTACAAATAATTTTAATATTTTTAATGTATTCAGATTCCTTCTCTGATAAAGCATTAATTTTTACACCCATCGCAGTCTCTGGAATATAATAGTATTTCATTCAAAAATAAACCAAAAAATAAAAAAGTTGTGGTTACAATTTTATATTTTCGGTGTAAAACACTTACCACTTATGACATCGAGGGCATACAAAGATATAATCTTTGATATTTCGTAGGTATCTTCGCCAACTTTTGATTGTAATTTATTAATTAATATATCTCCCACGTTCTCAAATACGTCTACAAACTTTTGTAAAATTGAAAAATGGAAAGCAGGGGTGATCATTTTTCTGTGTTTTCTCCAATGTGTACCTAAAGAGCAGAAACATTTAATATTTACAGGCCTTATTACTTTGGCATTGTTAATTTTAGTTCTAAAAACCCACAATATAAATCACATATTATTTTGAATACACCTACTGCTTGTGTATATTTTGTTTTAGTGTCACTGACATACACGAGACAAAGTTGTAGAAACAATAAAACAAATTATAGTTTCGAAATTCCAAGTAAAAAAATATGTATTACTTATTTTACTTGCCTGAACTAGTAAGCAATCCTGTACCTAACCAACCATGCAATAGGCTATATGGTCTTGGTTTGTCAATTGCTGCAGTTGATGAACTGAAGATAAGTTCGATAAATTCATAATCTGCGGTCAGAATGCTCCATTGAAACGAATTCTTGTGTACTAATACAATATCGCCGTATTTTTTCATATATCCATCCGCTACAGGAATGTGTCCTAAAAATTTAGTCTTATAGTTATAAATTTATTTTTTGAAGACAAGGCCAAGTCATTTTAACATGGTTCATAAATCATTTGTCTAGAGTACTAAAAAGTGTAGGTGGTTTGTGGTTTGAAATAACTTATAAGTACCCTAAGTACCCTAATAAAGAAAAAAATATAATCGTAGAAGGTACTTTCCTTGTTTAACTTATGTCTTCTTTCTAATCAAATTAGATTTGAGATGTACTGATGTCAGATGTACTGATGTACTGTGGTCCTCTCCTAATCTTTAGGTTACATTCCCCAGCCTTATCCTTTCCAAAAACTCTAATAACTTGGAGTCTTAATCCTGCATATTACTTTTTGTCGATGGTTTACCAAAGTCATTGCACTGATTTTCCGGGAGAATGTAATTGATTTTGGCTCAAAGTACGCCCAAAGGTTTGTAATCAACATTTCTTGTAATTGCTGTAACGTTTTTGCAACTAGAGCGCAATCATCAGCACATTGAAATTCTGTGATGATTTTTTTACGTTGTTTATCATAACTGTGACATACCATAATGTTACAGTTATGATAAACAACGATGCTGTTATACTGAAGTAGAGGGAGATGGCCGATTCTGCATCAGCCGCCCGGCGCCGGAAGTGACGTCATGTTACATCATCAGCTAAGAACATGTAAAATAATAAACAAGAACAAACAGGTTTAAACAGGAAACAACCGCTTTTGAACTGCTTTGAACCGCTTTTTAGCTTAAAACAACAGGCCTGTTAATTTTTTGTTCAAACCCGTTTATTTCTGTTTTAAAGATGTTGTTTCTTGTTTAAACCTGTTTGTTCTTGTTTATTAGCCTATTTTACATGTTCTTAGCTGATGATGTCACATGATGTCACTTTCGGCGCCGGGCGGCTGATGCAGAATCGGCCATCTCCCTCTACTTACTGAGGTATTGTGTTTAGTGTTTTCATATTGGGGATGTTGTCTTGTTAAGGATAGGGCTTTCAAGCTCTTTCCAGTAATTCAGTGGTGAATTAAGACATATTTGCGCCCTAGGCTAATAAAAATTTGGCGCCCATGCCTCCCCCCCCCCTCCCCGGAATTTTATTCTTAAACAATTTATCGTTATTGAGGAGTAGCTACAAAAAGAATATTTAATTTTTCACTACTTATTTAGAATGGACCTGCATTTAATTCGTGTGGATTAGCTCAGTGGCGGACTAAGGATATTTCTGACACGGGGCGGACTTTATGTGGAGCTCCGTACAACCTCACATTTAAAGTTTTGGCCCTGGCGAGACCCGGTGATTATGTAAACTTGACGGTCATTGTAGACGAAAAACTAATAAATAGTAATGTATTTTTCACTAGTAATGGGCTACAATTTATTTGTATTTATCAATTATTCTTTTAATAATAACAATTGAAAATAACTGATATACACCACAAATTCCATAAACAGATTGTTGGTATGATTCTGTGACTTGTATTGACAAATTTAGGCGCTGACTATGAATTAATTCATACCAATTTTGTTGTTATAACCTTATTAATTTCTTATTTCTTATCTTTTTCGTTTGCGGCACTTTGTCGATAAATATTAAAGAATTATCGCGACAATGACAATTTTGGATCCAATTATTTATGTGTTTTGTTTTTAAAGAAATACCCGCCAAAAATGTTGAATGTCCAATTTGGTGTAGCAAAGCGCCTACAAACCAGGGATAATTATGCCGTCGCCGTGGCGCCTATTTTTTTTCGGCGCCCTATAGGATATAGCCTAGTTAGCCTATTGAGTAATCCGCCTCTGCAGTAATTTCTGATAATGTAACCTAGAGATCAGAAGAGGATTACAACAGATATATATAGATCGCCGTGGATCAGACCAATAGACATTTAAAAATATAATAAAACTTTGTATGACACGTTATAATCAGTATAATAATCAATATTATCTTGTTTATAAAAATTTGTTTGTACCTTTAATTTATTTATGTATATTCCTATAATATGTAAATTTATTAATACAAAAATTTTCTTTCTAAAAGAGCTATAGCAAATTTATCGATACCTACCTTCAGTATTGACAAAATCCAAACTATTTCCAAAAAAGTATAACGGTTTTGGTCCAGGAACATTTTTCAAATAGTATGAACGGTCTTTAATTTTACGCGATATCAAACAACCAAGTAGCATTATGCCACTTATGGTGATAAAAAGTAAGAGGAAAACCATAATAAAAATTTAAACACAAAGGATTTAATTTCTTATTAACTGTACGAGACAATGGAACAACAGTAGGGTACAAGTCTAACAAGAGTATTTATATATAGTCCAATTCATTTTCTTTTGGCATTTAGTTAAGCACAGAAAAAACAAGATTACAAAGTAGGGGAGCATTGTTTTATTTTAATGTAGCAACAGTATCATGATCAAGTAAGCTATAACTTTGACAGTAAAAAAACAATTTAATTTTGCTTAAGAACCATATAATATAAACATATACCATCAAGATTTGAAACCGCTGCATCAAAAGTATAGTGAAACAAAATAAAATGACAGAGAACTTTGTCTACCATTTTTAAACAAACATATACAGGGTGGTCCGAACTGTCAATAATATGTAGTCAATACACATGTCCTTATTGCGAGGGGTGTCTCACTATTGGAATTACATGTACATTTTCTTGGCAGTCGTTGGTAGTCATTGGCAGTCTTTTGGCAGTCTTATGGCAGTCACCTATAATAATTACATGGCAGTCATAGGCAGTCTTCTTCATAGACGTTGGCAGTCGCTTAGCAGTGGAAGGATATTTTGGCAGTACGTGTACATTTTTTACCCGAGTGAGACACCCCTCGCCTTATTGACAAAAAAATAAACAAATTGAGTAGATAATTATTTGACTGAAATAATAAATTTGGGAAATTTTTATTTTTTTAAATTAATCATAAATTTATCTGAAAAAAAATGATGATAAAACAGTTTCTGTTGAACTTTTGACAAAAAAACATTTCAAATTTATGGTTTCAGTTTGATAACTATTTAGTCAACATGTTTAATGTATGTCAATGATGACAGGTATTGATAATTTTGATTCCAAATACACACACCGGAAAAGTCTAGGGATATTACAATTTTATCCAGCCATCATCGTCAGTAATTTTATTATTTGCATTTCTGATATAATAAAATTAAAATAAACAAATAGTTTACAGGACGTATTGGAAATAAAAATGCGAAATTTACCGAATTTCTCAAATTTACCTAGATTTACAAATTTACCTTGAATTTTTATTGAACTCGAAAAAATACAAACATTTTTTTTTATTCTAAACTGTGAATTAAAAAAAAAGATAAAACCATTTTTACTTAATAAAGGGTATGGTCTCTTCTACTGTTCATTACAGCCCTACATCGTCTCTCCATGCTCCTGATCAGGTTGTCGATCTCTTCTTGAGGTACAGCCTGCCACGCTGCATTCACGGCCCGAACCAGATCCCTACGAGTTTTACGAGGCATGTCCATTCTCAAAATTCTTCTTTAGACCGCGTCCCATACGTGTTCGATGGGGTTGAGGTCAGGAGATTGTGCCGGCCAGGGTAAGATGTTTAATTGATGAGCATTGATAAACTCACTTACCACTCTGGCTGTATGTGGCCGTGCATTGTCATGCATGAGAATGAAGTTTCTCCCAAAATCATTGGCATATGGTAACACGACAGGCTCAAGAATTAAATCACGATATGTGATTCCTGTTAGAAACCTTTCAAGAAAAACGAGATCGGTTTTTCGGCCTAATTGGACTGCTCCCCAGACCATAACTGTTCCACCTTGATAAGGGTGCACTTCCTGAACATGATCCAACCGAATAAGATTTCCCGGTTCTCTCCATACCCTAAGCCTTCTCGAATCCGGATGTAATCCAAAGCGTGACTCATCCGTGAAGAGAACATTGGCCCAATGTTCATTCGACCACTGAACATGATTTTGAGCTAACAAATATCGTACCTCTCGATTTCCTCTCGTTAAGGGTTGAGCTCTCCAGGGGCGTCTGCTTCTTAAGTTGACCTCACTTAATCTATTGCGAACAGTGTCAGGACTAACGGTTACATTATGTGTTTCCTGGAGAATTAAACTAAGCTCTGGTGCTGTCAGAGTCGGTCGGCGTCGAGCATTTAATTGTAAAAAATAAATGATCTTGCTGAGGGGTAGTAATGCGATGTGTGTGTGTCTTTCAACATCACCACTTTCACGGTAGCGTGCACTTAATCGCGATATTACACTTTGCGTTGTATTTAATGCTCTAGCTACGTCGATTTGGCGCATTCCAGCTTCGAGCATACCCATGGCCCTTAGCATTTCGTCTCTGTTAAGATGTCTACGCTCCATAATGTCGTTTAATACTAAACAGAGTTATTTGAATGAATTCTGGCCAGTTATCATAAAAACATAGCCAGTACAGGTTAAATTCAAACAATTGATGCTAGGTTCTTTTAATACATTTGACAAAAAATACACAAACACTTCTGCAAATATCTCAAATTTAGAAATAACTAGTGTGACTACTTCGTTTCAATCGAAGTAGAAAGAATCGGCCTACAAATATGTGGTTGTTTATTCAAAACATTTATTTTTAACTTTAATATAATGATATCCCTAGATTTTTCCGGTATGTGTATCTCGAGAACCATTGCTCGTAGTGATTTTTATCAGGAGAAAATTACTTTTTTACGTAAAAAACGTCGTAAATGTATATTTTTCTCAGTAGTTTTATAGAGGTACGGACGTTATTAGTCTTCAAACCAGTTAAAAAATATGTAGTTGGCACCCTCTACCAGTAGGAGTCATATTGACATCAAAATCAAATTTCTCATGTCAAAAAGCTTCCAAACACTAATTTTCATCCAAATATTGACGTTACTTCAGAAATTATTTGGAAAAATCGAAATAAAAATGAAACTTCTACACCCTGTATCTCCGAAACTAAGCATTTAAGGACATACATTTATACGAACTTTTTTACCTATTTTTATCTGCAAAATATTCTGCCGAAGTTTACGTAATACAGTTCGGACTACCCTGTATATTGATATAAAAATACAATAGTAAATGATATAGAGGAGATTTTTATTTTAAATGCTTAACTTCTCATTCGGGCAACGACCCAGTATTATTTTAGATTAACTCTGAAAACAACAACGATACCTAAACTTAAATATTTATAGCACTATGTATTTTTGGTGCATATTTAAGAGGGGCTATTTTTTAATACTTAAAACAAAAGGAATAAATACAAATATGTTTTTATAATATATTTTCTCGACTTTAGATGTTTATTTAATATTATATTTTTTATCAGTTTATATTAACAATAGGATTTACTTGCACATAAATTGACCAGATTAATTTAAATTTTAAATATGACTTGCATGAGACACTGTAAATATATCTATTGCTTCGTATCCGAAAAATTACCAGAAAACAAGCAATAATCGTGACATTACCCATTTAAATGACCGCGATCTTCATTTCGTAGACACCGTTCTTTAAAAAAAAATAATTTGATAAAAAATTGAAGTATTTATAAAGGTTAGTTTTGATTGATATTTATTAAATGGGCCGTGTTTAAATGAAGGCTCTCTTCGATGTCATATGGGAAAGCGGAGCTCAGGACTTTCGCAACGCGAATATATAGTGAATATACAGGGTTGTTCACCACTTTCACCACCAATTAAATTGAAACGACACGGAGTATTGTAGCTAAACGATTAGATTTTTACAAATTGTAAGTTTTGGGTTCGTTGTAGGACTATTAGAGCTACAATTTAAAAATATTTTTACAAGATACAGAGTGTCCCAAATAAATAAAAAATATCAAAGTTGTATTTTTTTAATTAGAACACCCTATATATTATTACATTTTTAGTTTCTACGATTAAAATAAAGGTAAATTTGATTAAGGTTTATTACACTTAAACCTTACCGTTTTTGAAATATTTTCAATTTTGTGAAATTGCAGTATAAATTTTAAGGCTTCATTTCTCCGACGGTATCAAAGTTTTTAATACTAAATATTTACTGAAGTTTATTTATTGATCAGTTATTGTGTTGCAATAATAAAAACTTTACTACCTAATACAGAATGTCTAAAAATTGATTTTAAATAATTACTAGCTTTAAACGGCAATAACTTGTTTAATTTAAATGGAACACCCTGTATATTTTATGAGAATCAGATGCACAATATCAAATTGTATTATACCACTTCTTACCTATTCCTTCAAGTTTTCGTAGAAAATGCATTTTCTTATAATTTAGACTTCATTTATCAATATACCCATGGAATATTGTCATTTTAGATTGTTTTTAAAACAACAAATATACAAAATGTACAGGCTAGTAATACTATCGTTTTTAGTAAAACGATAATATTACTAGCCCATTTGTATGCAAAAAGAAAACTATTTAAATCTTTATAAAAGAGCCATTTTTATACCATTAATTAAATATACCACCAGTATTTCCGCCCAAATACTAATTAACTACATACTTAATTGTGTTCGTTAATAAATTATTCTAAATAAATGTGGATTGGAATCAGAAATCAATATATTAATAAGTTATGAAATGAACGTCTCTGTTATAAATAAGCATTTGTCAAAAAATTAAATATCATTTTTAAGGTGTTAGTTTTTACCACACTGTCTAATACACATACATAATTCAGTTTTTTAGTATTTGGAGCAATTATTATTAATCAACGCAAACAGTCAATTAATGTAGTTTGAATACTGGAATCATATTAAGTGGTCCTCTTTAACAAATATTTTAACAGTTTTTTATTTACTTTTTAATGAAATAAACAAACTATATCGACTATATTAGTATCTGTACTCTTTAAAAATTTGGTACATCTTTAAAAATAATCTAAAGTGTCAGTATTCCATGGGTATATTGATAAATGAGTTCTAAGTTACAAGGAAATGCATTTTCTACGGAAATTTGAAAAGATAGGTAAAAAATGGTATAATACAATTTGATAGACAATTAAATTGTGCATCTGATTCTCATAAAATATACAGGGTGTTCTATTTAAATTAAACAAGTTATTGCCGTTTAAAGCTAGTAATTATTTAAAATAAATTTTTAGACACTCTGTATAAGGTAGTAAAGTTTTTATTATTGCAACACAATAACTGATCAATAAATAAACTCTAGTAAATATTTAGTGTTAAAAACTTTGATACCCCCGGAGAAATGAAGCCTTAAAATTTGATATTTTTTATTTATTTGGGACACTCTGTATCTTGTAAAAATATTTTTAAATTGTAGCTCTAATAGTCCTTCAACGAACCAAAAACTTACAATTTGTAAAAATCTAGTCGTTTAGTTACAATACTCCGTGTCGTATGTGGTGCACAACCCTGTATTTAAGAACAAAGGAAGTGCATCGGACTGCGGTAACTACCGAGGAATTTCACTACTGGCTATCGGAGGAAAAATTATTACAAAAATTATGTCAAACCGCCTGCACCCACATATAGAAAAAATCCTCCCAGAATTGCAAACGGGTTTTCGCACCAACCGCGGTACCGTCGATTCCATATTCTCCATCCGCCAACTACAGGAAAAAGTAAAAGAGCAGCAGTCTAAACTTTATGTTGCATTTATCGACTTAACAAAAGCCTTCGACTCTGTGAACAGAGATGCACTTTGGGCAATTATGAAAAAGTACTAGTACTAATCGGAGTACCCAACAAATTATTACAGTGTGTAAAAGCCTTCATAACAACAAGTCAAGAGTATCATCATGGATCACCTGAGCTATCCCTTCCTAACAAACACAGGAGTTAGGCAGGGATGTGTCTTAGCGCCTCTCCTATTCAACATATTCATGGTAGCGCTCTTCATTATAGTGGACAGCAAACTGCAGGAGAGAGGTTTGGGCATTAAATTACTATTAATTATATACTACGGCGGTCTGTTCAACATAAATAGACTCAGGGCCAAAACACGCACAAAATTTATCACAGAACTTCAATACGCTGATGACTGTGCTCTAGTAGCAATTACGTTACAGCAATTGCAAGAAATGTTGAACACATATACCCGGACATACGAGGCTTTGGGGCTTAATCTGAACATCAATAAAACTAAAATCATGTGTACTTCCCCGGAAAATCACAACAATGCTATAAAAATCGGAGAAGAACGATGGGAATATGTAGCGGAATTCAATTACCTCGGCAGTTTGATTTCGGAAAATATCGACTCGGAAATTCAGCACAATATACGAAGCGCCTCAAGAGCGTTCTGGAAATTAAAAGACAGGGTTTGCTACGATCATGACTTGAGTATAAAAACGAAACTTGCAGTGTAGCGAGCAATTATAATCCCCACCATGTTATATGGAAACGAAACCTGGGTGCCGTACCGCCGCCACATGAACGCATTAAACAAGTTGCAACATCTTAGAGACATCTTAGACAACTCCTAAGAATAAAATGGTTCCATCATGTCTCAAACGTATCGGTCCATGAAAAAGCTAACTGCGAGAGTATTGAAGTCATGGTTACAAAGTCCCGCTTAAGATGGGCTAGTCACGTATGCAGAATGCAAGAAAACCGCATGCCAAAATGTCTGCTTTACGGTGAGCTTGTAGACGGTAAGAGGAAGCCGGGTGGACAACTCAAGAGGTATAAGGATATTTTCCACGAAGACTTAAAGGGGATTAACAAGCAGGATGATGGGAAGCAACTCACAATAGAACGGAATGGCGAAGAATTGTAAACTTAGTTAACAGCGACAACGAAAAAGTAAAGAGCCAACAAAGCAATGAGATTTTTGATTGTCTGGAGTGCGGTAGACAGATAACATTACGTATCGGGCTTTTCAGTCACAGAAAAGCTCATGACAGAAAACGCCTTGCGTGACCATCTTCTGATGCGTGTCAAATACTCGTCAGCGAGTAATGGCAGTATAATATAGTATACCTTTTAAAAAAAGTCGACATTTCGAGGAATGATTATTTCTGTTAATTGTGATTCGGTGATATTATTTCTTTTCGGGCAACTATCTTTTTGGGTAATACTCCTTCGGTCAATTGTTTTCGGGCAATTTTTCTAGATCCCAGCTATTCTCTTTTCTATGTCAATACTTCTATCCTGAGGAAATACTGAAATACTATTATAAGACTTTTTAGCTTCACAAAAATCGATAGTTTTCATAAAATACCTTTTTTATTATTTTTCTTATTTCCACGTCTACAGGATCAACTAATAAGGTGAATAAAAGTCAAATAAGTATAAAAATATCTACATTTATTACGTATTGCACTAATTTCTCTTAGATACAGATAGACGGATACCATTTTTGGAAATTAGAATTAATTCTGGGGCCAGTACAATTTGATGCTCCGATGCTGGTGGTTTCAGCTCAAAATGTCGAACGATCTTCGAAATTGTATGCAAAAGTTCCAACATGGCAAATTTCTGACCTAAGAATATAAAAATTTATTTTCTAGTTCATTTTAACTAAATAGGGTGTCCGAATATTTGGTGGACATAGAACTACTAAATATTCTGTGTGCTTATTTTTAATTTGTTTTTAATTTTTACGTGTGTTATGTTTATGTTATGTTGTTTAAAATCAAAGAACAGATGCATGAGCATGCATTTATTTTTATTAGATTTTATTATAAAAGCATCTTTTATTTTTCTTTTAGAGGCTAACGCTTCCTTCATTATAATTTTGGCATTGTTAAAATCTACCCTCTGCCGATGAATGCTGACAAATCTTAGATTTGTGAAAATAGTCTTTTTTTAAATAATCTTTATGTTTTTTAATTCCAACATTTAAGGGCCTAGATGTTTCACCAATATAAAATTTATTACATTCGCATAGGTATTTTCTATATTACATTTTTAGTTTGTATTTTTTGGAGAGATAAATCCGCCACAGAGTGGTATAGACATTTTTTAAATTATTTTAACTACGGAAAATTGGAAGGTCCGGTAAATGTCTAATCTTCTTAAGTAAAATTTATAGATAATACAAATTTTATTATTGTTTTTACCAATGCAATTTCTTGGTCCTGCACTAAATGGCACGTAAGAATACGGTAACCTTCCATTTAAAATTTCAAATCGTTCTGGAATAAATTTCTCTGGTTCTTCATAATATTTCTCACTTCTCTGAATGCCATATGTGAACAGCATTATATTTAAGCCTTTAGGATATATGGATCCATCTGAAAATAATATTACATTATTCACTATATTCAGTGAAAATGAATAAATACGAAAAAAAATCAGATATATACCGGGTGCTTCTCAAAAGTGATTGAGGAACGGAATTAGGTTAGGAAATGAATTATTTCAGATAAAAAACGACATTCGTGATGTTAGTGTATGACATAAATTAGGATTGATTGGCGTATTCAATTGTTTTCGGTCACTTCCTGTTTTGCCGGAAATGGCTGCAACTTTTGATTTTAAAATGGCACCCTCGATATTTTTTTACTTTATTCGGTAAAAAATGACACTTTTTCGCTTAAAAATCATATTTTAAAATGCTATGGCTATGCTAAAAATACAAATTTTTAATGCTTGTTATAAATCCAAATAAACCATATGGGAAAATGTCTAAAGTTGACATATGATATGTCATTCTATTCAAAGTGCCATTTTTTATCAAATAAAGTAAAAAAAACCGAGGGTGCCATTTGAAAATCAAAAGTTGTAGTAATTTTCGGTGAAACAGGAAAGGTGACCGAAAACAATTGAATAAGTCAATCCATTCTGATTTAAGTCAAATACTAACATACCAAATCTCCTTTTTTATCTAAAAAAAAGTAAAAAAGTTATAGGAGTGAGCCACTTTTGAGAAATACCCGGTATATGTTACCATTTATGTTATATGTTACAGTGAAAATCGGAAATCCAGTAAATCCAGTAAATGTTAACAATCACTAGTTAGTCTGTACATTTATTAAAAGTTGTCAGTAATAGTCATTCTATTGTACAAAGTTGTAGCAAATATAACTTTTAAGAACATTCAATCACCTTCATGTTTGAGATAATTCACCTATTTTAAAATTACAAGAAAATTATAAGAAAACGGAAACACCAAAATTAAAATATTTTTTACTATCTGTAACTGCAATATTGACGTAAAATTAGAGTATTTTCTATAAAAATGATTATAAACATTACTACTTACTGAATTCGATATCTTTTGTTAATTTTCGACCAACAAATGGTACCGGTGGATAAAGCCTAAGCGTTTCTTTTATTACCGATTCTAAGTACTTCATTTCTCCAAGTTGAGTATGGGTTGGCACTGCCATTTGAACGTTATCTCCAAATATTAAGCGTTGTTCTTCGAACACTTTTGCCTATAACAGTTATAAAAACCAGGATGTAATATATATATATATATATATATATATATATATATATATATATATATATATATATATATATATATATATATATATATATATATATATATATATATATATATATATATATATATATATATATATATATTATTTTTCATTTAAACGACATTTTTTTATTATTATATATGAGTACTAATACCTGCTATAAATACTTACTTGGACCTCTGGATGAGTTGATAAATTATATAGGCAAAAGGACATTGCCGATGAAGTTGTGTCGTGCCCCTGAATATAGAGAAAGAAATAAAATAAAAAAGTAATTTATAAGAATTACATAAATTTTTAGTTTTAAAAAATTATATCTATTTGGCAATTATTTAAATCATATGTTTAATATATTCTTGAAAAATACAGTGGAGGTATTGATAGCTTTGATAAGTGGTTGCCATATTGTGAAAATTTTCATACTTGGATTACTAAAAATTATTGTTACTTATTATAAAAACATAGCATCTTTAAGTTTAGTTTTTCATTGAGGCAACTTGTGGACAACCTGAGCTTCCGATCACTTTATGTTATTCTGCTTGGACCACACATGGCCTGCTATACTTGAATTTATTGTTTCACCCTTTTGTGTATATTTATGTTCTTTAACAATTTAACGAACAGAAAGTAAACATAATTCTAATACTAACCTCAAACATAAAGGTATTAACTTCATCTCTCAGTTCAGTTTTTGTTAGGGGCCTGCCATTTATATTTGACTTCAATAGAAGGTCTAGAAATACCATACGCTCTTTCTCTTCAACGTTTTCTAATGCTGGTGTTCCATTATTTACAACGTTTTTCTTGCTTTCAGTATTAATATCCTTGATTTTACGTTCTATAACTTCATCAACAAATCCGTGCAGAACCTTAAAATTCGACCATATACAGTTTTTATTAAGTTTTAGATTATTCTTTTATGCATAAATCAAATAATTGAATATGGTTTTTTATATCTTAATATCAAATATCAATAAGTTATCAAAATCAATAACATAACAATAGAATTAAGCAAGAGTCTTGCAATAAGACCAAGATAAGTACTGGACTTAGCAAGACCAAAACCAAGACTACATTTAGATTGCAAGACCGAGACCAACGAAGTCTTAATCTTGCAGTAAGTGAAATAGTTTTTTGCATTTAGGTAAGTTGACAGACTAGTTATCAAGAGACTATGGTTTGAACTCTTCTTTGTTTCACAACAAAAAAAGGTAATTATGATTAAAACCGTATCGACCAGCACGATCGTAGCCCGATGCTAGGCAGGAGTGGGGAGTGCAAGCCGTATGTTATTGAATCCGGACCGAGAGGAACTAAATAAAAGACTACAGGAACTAAATAAAATTACGTACGTATCGGCCAGCGCGATAGTAGCCCGATGCTAGGCAGGAGTGGAGTTTGCCAGCCGTATATGTTACCTGTCCCGGACCGAAAAGACTGAAAGGAACTAATTAAAAGACTAGTTCACGGGAATCTATTCAGTCGGCAGATTCGAGATATAATACAAGGCGACGAAGATGGATTCGGCCTTATCTATTGCCACAGCCGGCGTATTTGCCACAGAAAATTGTCGTGGATACTGTTTTTGATTTTTAGTTTGTTCTTTGAATATTTTATGGAAACGTTTCACTTTAGGTTCCTAAAATTAAGAAAAATATCTTATAAAACTAAGTAGATATTCTGAATTCTTAGACAAAAACAAAAAGCTTTAAGTTAGGAAAATGCAATTTTTCGTATTATTTGCTCCAACTGATTTGTGATATAATTTTTTAAACTCTGATTTAAGTTTCTTTTTTATTTTTTTTATCTGCAATAAAACTTATCTATATGTTTTTAACATACGCAATTACACGTCTCGTTATATTTTTATATGTCGCGTTATATACATTATAAAAATTATACAGATCATAATATGAATAGTTCTGACTATTGTGAACTAAAGACCTAGTTCAAGGAACTAGAACTCAGGAACTAGTTCTTCCCAAGGAACTAGAATTCCCACCTCTAGGCTATACGATATTTGGAAATGGTTGAATAAACTGAAAATGATGATGATGATGAAGTAAACATCTAAAAATTATATTTATTAATATAATATGCTTTTTAAATTAGAATAACTCTATCAGTACCTTAAGTAGTTTCGATTCCTTGTACTGAGTCCATGTAAATTTATAAATCGATTCGTGAACTGGCGATGCAATTCGTTGAACTACTATGTTACACATGCCCTTAACAGACTTAATATAATTTGCATGATTTTTATTGGTATCCTCAAGCCACACACCCATGGCCGCTTCTACAGAAATTATAATATCAGTAAATTCTCATATAAATATCAGGAAATTATCATATAATCTACAAGTGCTCTTTGTACAGGGTGGGTCAAATTCGACGCTTTTAAATGGAAACACCCTTTTCTATAGGAGATAGACAAAAACTGACCGGTGTCTGGAGCTCAATTTTTGTCAAAAACATGATGGCGAAAACCGCATATCGATATCTGTTACCGTTTCGGAGTTACGGGGTGTTTTACAAAAATATGCTTTTTTAACAAATCGCTGTAACTTTTTTGCTATGGAAAATTTTGTATTTTTATGAAAACATTTTCAAAGCACCTTTTTACGTAGAATTTAATGGGTTATGTATATTTTTTTTAAATTAATAATTTAATGATTATTTATAGAAAACTTGATTTTTTATATGGGACACCCTGTATATTTTTAATTTATTGAAAATAATTTAAAATTACCTTTCCAAAAATATAACACACTTGATATTTTGCTCGATTCCTCTTCGAGATATAGTATAGTATATAAAAATTCGCCGGCTTTAAATAAGTAGGCTTTGAACGGCACCGGCTGTAATGCAAAAAAATTCTAGCTGTGAGCATCATTTAAAACGAAAATAATATTTGCTATGAGAGATGCAGAATTTTATAACAATTTAAAATATATTTAACCAACATCAACACGTTTAAACTATATCTAATAACAATAAAAATAAATAGCAAACCAAGACATAAGATTTTGCTACAGGTGTTCGACATATCGACCGTCTTCTGTTATGGACAGACGGGGCAGTTTTTGAACATTTCTCGCGGAATTCATTAACTCAGTAGGTGTGAAAGATACCCTCTCATAACTGCTAACTATTTCTAATTCTTGTCTAGATTATACGGAAGAATAAGGAACCTTTATTCTTCCGCAAATATATCCATAGGATTAGGTCCATGGGCACTAAGTCAGGCGGCCTCGACGGCCAACGGCTGGGGTCTTGGTTAGCTATTCAATTATTCTTGAAATTGGCTGGAAAAATTTGCTGATAACTTCAGCGTTCAGAGGCGGTGCGTCGTCTTGCTGGAAAAATATGTTTTCGAGTTCCATTAAGGGCGTATCATCAATATGGGGTCCAAAGTCCAAAGCCTACTAGTTAAAAGTGGCGAACTTTTAAAAATTCTGTATTTCAAATGGGATTATAACAAAATATCAAGTGTGCTATATTTTTGGAAAGGTAATTTTAAATTCTTTTCAGTTAATTAAAAATATAGAGGGTGCCCCAAATAAAAAATCAATTTTTCTGTTGATAACTCTTAAATTATTAATTTGAAAAAAATTATACTTAAACCATTAAATTCTACGTAAAAAGGTGCTTTGGAAATGTTTTCATAGAAATACAAAATTTTCAATAGTAAAAAAGTTACAGCGATTTGTTAAAAATGCACATTTTTGAAAAACACCCCGTAACTCCGAAACGGTAACAGACATTGATGTGCGGTTTTCACTATCATGTTTTTGATGAAAATTGAGCTCCAGACACCGATATTAGTTTTCGTCTATCTCCTATAGAAAAGGACGTTTCCATTTAAAAGCGTCGAATTTGACCCACCCTGTACAGGTATATGAAAATAAATAAAAAACAATTTTTATAAAAAAAATACATTATAAATCTGTGCCTCAAAATGAAAGCCTGTTTTTTTTTAAATATATATTTTTTATTGTACAATATTCAATATTATGTTATTGGTACCTCTAAAACAACCCCTACACTATCGCCGAACTGTTCCCGAAATATTTCTAGAAATATTTCGTAAAACATTTCGTAAAACATTTCTGGAAATAATTTCAGAAGTAAACTCAAATATAAGCCCGTGTTAAATACTGGTATAAAGTAAAAAATTGGTCAAGTGCGAGTCGGACTCGCGCACGAAGGGTTCCGTACCATTCATTATCTATACAAGGTTAGACACTATATTATTATAAACTTTTTTTCCGATTTTGAATGCGCGTATAAGTAATTTAAAAGAAAAATGAAGAAACACATAACTAAAAATTGTAATAATCAATAATAAATATGTAAAAAGTAAAAATAAAAATGTAAAAATTAAAAAAAAACGATTAAAAGAAAGTCGCCCTGACTAGGATTCGAACCTGCCTTACTAGGGCTCCAACATCAGAGCAGCGTAAAGTCCTAACGCTTTAACCACGCGGCCACAGAGGACTTGAAAGATTCTATGTAAAATTCTTACTTAAAAGATAATGTTTAGTGAAAGTACTTTTTTATTTATAAACATTTATTTAATTCTGTTTTTAGTATTTGTTTAGTTTGGTTGTTAATAGTTTTAATTCTTGAAAATATAAAAATTCTTTCAAATTTCAGATTATTACTTACCACAAATTATATCCAGAGTACATAACGAAATTAGCTGAGATATTTCAATGCTTCCTTCGCCAACTTTCGTTTCCAGTTTATCAATTAACTTTTTATTGACACGTTCGAAAATATCTATAAATTTTGGCAATATGGAAAAATGGAATGACGGAGTGATAACTTTCCTATGGCTCTTCCATTTGCTACCTTTAACAAAATGGAAGTGTAGAATATGCATATATTCGTAACAACTTGTGAGTTACTATTCTTATTTTTCACAAGGTCAATGTTGAACGGTTTTAACTCAAATTCAGTTTACAGGGTGTTGACTTTACATTATTGACATTCTAATATTTAAATGGGTGATGCTTGGACCTATTCTTGGATCTTGGATATATCTTTAAAACATTTTCGAAAAAAATTTATAACAGTATGTCCCCGGATTATCTTTACAAGAAGAAAAACTTTTTTATTGTTGATATTTTGGGAAAAATGCATTCTACATAAAAGATTTTGCTTGTTCTAAAATGATTAACCACATTTATACTTTTCCAAATTTTCATACCGTTTTAGAGAAAATTAAAAAAGATCATAAAAATATATTTGAATTTTTATCTATTTTATTGTATTATTTTTCAAGTCCTAAAAATCAAAACGCGTACGGCAATATAATCTCGGTTTCATTGTTTAATAAATTGTTGAAATTTTAATTAAAGTTATATTTTTTGCTGTTTTAAAATGTTAAAAGAAGCACAAAATTTATTTAGTTCAATGCTTCAGTTAATCAAAATTAATATTAACCATCTATCAAAAAATGAAATCGAAATTCTGTCACTATAGAAATGTCTTTTAATTTTCAGGACTTTGTCTTTACAAGAAAAAACCTTTTTTTACTTGAAACAATCCGAGGACACATACCTTATTGTTTAATACTGTCGTTGCTCGACTTTTAGTTCAATTTTTTTATTTAATTATGAATTAGACCAATTATTATTCCAAAATTTTTTGAAATTATAAAATATTAAGATTAAGTCACAAAAACTATTGTTGTATATTTAGTAAGGCATACATTAATTCTTAAAATAGATTAAAATATGCCAAAATAATTCCTAAATCCTCATTGTTATTTAAATTTAATTTACTAAATTTAATATTTATTAAATAATAAATTAAGTTGGCTTGGATGTTCTATTAAAATAAGAAATATGCTACCTCTTTTAAAATGATGCGCATGGTAACGCTGAAAATATTTTAGACAGATGGAGCAGGTGCCTTTTTCTAAAAATCCAAATTTTCCAAAAAATTCTATGACCGGTTCTCCATAAAAATCTAACGTGCTATCGCCGTGAATCACCCTATATATCAGTTCAAGTAGAAATGCGAAGGAGATATTAATGTCAACAAGACAAAATGTTTTGACATTCTTAAAGTAAAGATATTTTTACTAAATGTTTATAATTTAAATATTACATCAAAAAGTTCCAAATTGTCCTTGATAAAAAATTCAATTAATAATTACTAATTAGCAGTTAACAATATCATTTTTAATAGCTTCCATAAATTAGTCATTTGTTTGACATAAAATTATATTACTCTTGGATAATGTATATTTAAAAATATTTTATTTGTTTTTTTTTCATGGCTGTCAGTATGATGTATTACAAAATTTGGTTTTATCAGCATTACTTAATATCTGCTGGACCAATTTGTGTAGTTTTATTTTTAAAAATGTACCGGGTGACCAACTAAAAATGGCTGGTAGCTGTAACTCAGATCGTATAACTTTGAAAAAAAAACACTAGACGTCGTTTAACAAAAATTGACATAAAATTTGTCAAAAATTAACACTAATAATTATAGACAGTGTTTAATGAGAAGAAAACGAAATTTATGGAGTGGTCAAATAGGGATTTTGAGAAGGGAAGATGTCTACAATTGAATTCTGAGAGAGGTAAACGATACAAGTTTGAGGAAGTAGATACAGTCACATATCTAGGAGCCGTATTTCTAATAAATTATGGCAAGAATCATAGCAGGAAATAGATGTGTCAGCATTACAGAGAATTATTAAGAGTAAAAACATTTCTAGAAGTTTAAAAATCAGAATGTACCAAACAATGAGTAGACCAATAGTGCTGTATGCATGTGAAACGTAGACGTTCAATGCAACGGAAAGTTCGAGGCTAGAGATTTGGGAAAGAAAAATACTGAGGAAGATTTTTGGAGGAAAGAGGATAGACAACAAATGGACCAGAAGAACAAATGAAGAATTAAAGCAACTATATCGGGCATCGAGTATAACGGAAGTAGCAAGAGCACAAAGACTGAGATGGCTGGGACACATTGAAAGAATGGCTGAAGCAAGAATTCCTAGAGTGATAATAAAACGTGAAATAGGTGGAAAGAGAAAGAGGGGTAGACCGAGAATCAGGTGGAAAAAGCATGTAAAAGAGGACTTGAGATGGATAAGAGTGGATGGGTGGGGAATAAAAGCGAAAGACAGAAACAAATAGAGAAAAATAACAAATCAAGCCCTTTTTGAGTCAAGTCAAAGTTTTTTTTTTATCAAGCCAACAATGAGTCTTTTAGGCTTTTAGAGCTATTATATAATATATAATTATAGACAGATTAAAAAAGGATAGAACGTTTTCAGACCAACATATCTATTTCAAACAAAAATTCTGGAATTTTAAATTACACCATTTAAAAATAATTTTTAATCAATATAAAAATAAATTACATTCTTATGGGCAAGTGGCAGTAAGAGCCTTTATAAAATAAAAAAGAATACGGATCAAGTAAATGATATCTAGGGTTTGACCTCGCTAAAATTACCATCGACCTTTGACACCATTTTTTTTTTCGATCGTATGTTGTTATTGTTATAATTTTACCTGTACTGGTGAGCAGTCCTTCTCCTAACCATCCACTAAGGAACGAATACTGACAGGACTTGTCAATCTGGACTGACGAACTGTAAATTAATTCAGAAAAGTCATAGTCTATTGTGATGACAGCCCAACTCAGTGGACCATCGTGTACCACTATTGTATCTCCATGATTCTTTAGCCATTTGCATACTACCCCCAAATATACTGAAATATTTTAATATATTATTATGTTAATGATAGTTAATTTGAGATTGTATTATATGGAATTAGCTAAAACATAAGTAGGATATATAACTGTAAAGCTATATACAGGGTGAGTCTTAAATAAGTACCAATATTTTCAGGCCTGGTAGATCTCGATAAAAGAAACATAATATTTTCTCTTTACCGTTTTTTACATAACTCCAAAATAACAGTGATATTTTACTTCGGAAATTTCGAAAAAAAATGTTTTTGCTTAAATTTTCAGAACCACTGGATCTTTTCTGGGTCTCCTTTCTTGTACAGAGTGGGTCAAATTCGACGCTTTTAAATGGAAACACCCGTTTCTATAGGAAATAGACGAAAACTAATATCGGTGTCTGGAGCTCAATTTTCATCAAAAACATGATGATGAAAACCGCACATCAATATCTGTTACCGTTTCGGAGTTACGGGGTGTTTTTTAAAAATGTGCATTTTTAATAAATCGCTGTAACTTTTTTGCTATGGAAAATTTTGTATTTCTATGAAAACATTTCCAAAGCACTTTTTTACGTAGAATTTAATGGTTTAAGTATAATTTTTTTTAAATTAATTATTTAAGAGTTATCAACAGAAAAATTGATTTTTTATTTGGGACACTCTCTATATTTTTAATTAACTGAAAAGAAGTTAAAATTACCTTTCCAAAAATATAGCACACTTGAAATTTTATTATAATCCCCTTCGAAATACAGAATTTTTAAAAGTTCGCCAATTTTAACTAGTAGGCTTTGGACCCCTTATTGATGATATGCCCTTAATGGAACTCGAAAACATATTTTTCCAGCAAGACGACGCACCGCCTCTGAACGCTGAAGTTATCAGCATTTTTTGCACCCAATTTCAAGAATAATTGAATAGCTAACCGAATTCCCAGCCGTTGGCCGTCGAGGCCGCCTGACTTAGTGCTTATGGATTTAATCCTATGGATATATTTGCGGAAGAATAAAGGTTCCTTATTCTTCCGTATAATCTAGAAAATAATTAGAAATACGTAGCAGTTACGAGACGGTATCTTTCACCCCACTGAGTTAATGAATTCCGCGAGAAATGTTCAAAAACTGCCCCGTATGTCCATAACAGTAGACGGTCGATATGTTGAAAACCTGTAGCAAAATCTCATGTCTTGGTTTGCTGTTTATTTTTATTGTTATTAGATATAGTTTAAATGTGTTGATGTTGGTTAAATATATTTTAAATTGTTATAAAATTCGGCATCTCTCAAATATCATTTTCGTTTTAATTGATGCTCACAGCTAGAGTTTTTTTGCATTACAGCCGGTGCCGTTCAAAACCTACTTATTTAAAGCGGGCGAATTTTTATATACTCTATATCTCGAAAAGAATCGAGCAAAATAATAATATCATGTGTGTAATATTTTTGGAAAGGTAATTTTAAATTCTTTTCAATAAATTAAAAGTATACAGGGTGTCCCATATAAAAAAATCAAATTTTCTGTTGATAATTCTTAAATTATTAATTTCAAAAAATATATACTTAAACCATTACATTCTACGTAAAAAGGTGCTTTGGAAATGTTTTCATAAAAATACAAAATTTTCCATAGCAAAAAAGTTACAGCGATTTGTTAAAAATGCATATTTTTAAAAAACACCCCGTAACTCCGAAACGGTAACAGATATCGATATGCGGTTTTCACCATCATGTTTTTGACAAAAATTGAGCTCCAGATACCGATATTAGTTTTTGTCTATCTCCTATAGAAAAGAGTGTTTCCATTTAAAAGCGTCGAATTTGACCCACCCTGTACATTTAATTTACTACATATACATATACTGCCATTACTCACTGACGAGTATTTGACTCGCATCAGAAGATGGTTACGCAAGGCGTTTTCTTTCATGAGCTTTTCTGTAACTGAAAAACCCGATACGTGATGTTATCTCTCTTCCGCACTCCGAACATTCAAACATCTCATTGCTTTGTCGCCTCTTTATTTTTTGGTTGTCGCTGTTAACTGAGTTTACAATTATTCTCCATTGCGATCTATTGTGCGCTGCTTCTTCCCACTCATTCTGCATGTTTATCCCCTTTAAGTTTTCGTGGAAAATATCCTTGTACCTTTTGAGTTGTCCACCCGGTTTCCTCTTACCCCTTACAAGCTCACCGTAAAGCAGAGATTTACGTGACCAGCCCATCTTAAGCGGGATTCTGTAATCATGACTTCAACGCGTCTTGCAGCTAGCTTTTTCAAGGACCGATACGTTTGACACATGGTGGAACCATTTTATTTTTAAGAATAGTAAGATAAGAATAATCTACTACCTTCTTCTTGTAGTACCATCTTATAATGAAGGTTGGCAACAATCGCGGCGAAACACTGTCTGTCCTGTGCAGCTCGAAACAGTTCGTGTGAGTTCAGCCCAGTCCAGTCTCGTAAGTTTTTCAACGAAGAGTGCTTGCGTCTCCCAAGTCCTCTTCTGCCTTCTACCTTTCCTTCCATAATCAACTTCAGAAGCTTTGCTCTGCTACTGCGCATGACATGGCACATGCTGTCTTTCGTTTTTTTATATTTGCAATTAATTCCCTGTCCCTGTTAAGCCTCCCAAGAACCTCTTCATTGCGTACATGATCTGTCCAGGGTATTTTCAAGAGTCTTCTGTAGATCCACATTTCAAACGCTTCCAACAGTCTCATGGTGTTCATTTTAATAGTCCATGTCTCACGGCCATATAAGAGGATTGAGTAAACATAACAATGGACAAAACGCAGACGTATGTTGAATCTACTACCTATGTTGACATATTATCAAGAAATTATGTTAAAAAAAAATTAAGTAACAAGATGTACTAGGATGTATCACGACAGAAACTTAAATTTGTAAAAATTTTCCCGAAAATCATAAAATAAACTGGAATTGTTCGAATTATTAATCAAAAACTGTAAAAAATTATTATGCATTGAAGTTTGACGATGAATATCTTTTAAACGGTTAATTTAATCGACTAATCATAAGATACCCTTTTTGTAGAGCAGTGAATTTCCTACAAAACCGTGAGTTTCGCGTGTCATAATACTTTTTTGTTAACGAGTTATAAAATTCATAAGAAAAAAGAAATCTGCCTTAAAATAATCAAACTTCAAACTTTAATAACTTTCAAACGGCGAGGGTTACAAAAAAAATTGTAAGAAACTTTTTTATAAAGAATTAAATTTCGTACAAACATATGAGACGAGATATTTTTTCCAATTAGTAGATACCAAAATATAAATTTTTCTTTCTAATGTTGGAAATCTTATATGCAACAATAATAATTTAAGTTCAAATAAACAGTTTTTGTGCGGCGCGGCGTCTAAAAATAAACGTTTATTTGATTTATATTTCATCAGCTCTCGGTTTGGGGAATTTGACAAGAATGCATACCTAGCAGTTGCTTTTAATATTATATTTTTTATTATTGTAGTGGAATTTTTGTGTTAGTCTGAAAGAGTATCACGTACAAAACGTACACGATTTTATTTTCTCCATGTATTAATTAATTATTTTAGTTAAATAAAAATCACATTGTTCCAAGTTGTACCTTTTATTATCTCTAATATCTAACATCTAATAATAGTAGTCCAAATATTTAGATGCAAATTGTACATAAGAACATTCTCTATAAGTTCGCCTAATGAATTTTTTTTATAAGTCTATTATTTCCGGACTTAGCGGCCGTTTCATGAGCCCTTTGGTGTGGTTTTCAAAAAGTTTGTTTTACAGCAAATTGATTCGTATGAAAGTTGTTCATAATAAATGGACAAGCAACTTTTCCTCATGAATTTTTTTTTGTAGCTTTATTAGTTTTGGAGATAGCGTCCAGTTCATGAACAAATTATAGGGTAGTTTTGAATGTTACTCCTTTTTCAGCAAATTCACCCTAGGAAACTCGTTCAAAGTAAGAGTACGTATACCTTTGCCTTATGAACTATTTTTGTAACTTGACTATTTTTGGAGATAGCGCCCAAAAATCTCAAAAAAAATCAAAAATAAAAAATAAAAAATCCCAGCTATCTCCAAAAATAATGAAGCTACAAAAAAAATCATGAGGAAAAGTTGCTTGTCCATTTATTATGAACTGCTTTCATACAGGTCAATTTCCTGTAAAACAAACTTTTTGAAAACCACCCCAAAGGGCTCACGAAACTGCCGCTAAGTCCGGAAATAATAAACTTATAAAAAAAAGTCATTAGGCAAACTTATAGAGAATGTTCTTATGTACAATTTGCGTCTAATTATTTTGTTGTAGTACAGTTTTAAAAAACCACCTCTATTACTCAAAAACCGCAAGGGGAAAACTTCCGATTTTGTTTATTTTACACTTAGGAGACAGTCGCTGACAAACTGTGAAAAAATCAGCTTGCCCGTAATTTTTTTTTTCAAATGACAATTTTATTGGACTATAGGGAAAAAATAGAAAACTGAAAGGTGGAGGACCTTCTTATTAAAATTAAGAGCTCATACTTAGAGAGAATTTTTTTGAGATGTCTACCAACCTTTTTTTCAGAGTACTATAAAGTGAAAAAAATAGTCGATATTTATTTTTTTTTATTTTTGACCCACCCTAAATAAACACAATTTTATTAACTTCTCTTAATACAGGACTAATAGCAACCTTTAAAAAAGATTAATGTCATCAACTGGCCGGAGTATTAAATAATTAGGTACTCAATAATTCTTCATAAAATATATGAAAAAAGTTTCTGTAAACATAGGTAGTAGATGTCATGCTAAAATTATCATTAATACTTATTTTAATTAGGAAATGCATAATTTTAAACTTAAGTTACTTTAAAAAAAAGGTCTTTTGTAATTACCTTAAATACCATTATTTTAATCTTGAATTTGCTGTAGCGAGCACTGAACATCAGTGTTATAGATTTTAATAAAATTTAATATTAAAATACATTAAATAAATAATTTATTATTTTAATTTTATTAATTTTGAAATAAAATTGC